ATAATTAGGTGGCTAAGTATTAATGATTATATAATAAATTCGTCAAGTGATTTTAGTGATAAAAGGAAATGCTATTTTCTTTAAAAATCTTGAATTCGAATGATTATGTTTATAAAATATATACATTTTATCATTAAAAAAATTTAAGATATATATTACTCTGTGATCATCGATATTTTTCAAATATAATATTATGCAATATATGAGATAAAAAAACATATTAATTAATCTAATGATATGAAATATTAGATTCGATGATTATAAATGTAGCAAATTATGTTAAAGGATCGTCCTTATAATAGACATTTGTAAAATTCGATATAGATTATCCACACATTTTTTTTGATAGATTCTAAATCAAATCTTAATTCTACTAGAGAAGGAAAAGAGGGAATTCTATAAAGAAGAAAAAATGAAGAGTGTTCGTAGTAAGATTAGAATATGTGACATGAAAAAAATATAAGAAAATAATAATAAACAACTTGACCAACCAATTAAATATGTCTATTCCACAACTTTTATTTTATTAAAAAAAACTCGATAATCACGATCCTACGAACATGAACTAAAATTATTATCTTATGAATTTAGATATACTTGTTCAACATATATTTCAATTAATTTATTTGAAATTATTTTTAAAATTTAAAATTTTATAATAACGGCTAAATCGATAAATTTTAAATTTAATGACCAATAGTTTACACTAAGTTTTATTGTACAACATAATTAGGCCTGTAAACGAACCGAACGCACACGAGCGGAGGTATGTTCATGTTTATTCATTTAATAAATAAACGAACATAAACGAACACGAATATAAACGAACAAATGTTTTTTGTTCATGTTCGTTTATTAAGGAATATAAATGTTCATGTTCGTTCATTTAATAAATAAACGAACACAAACAACACGAACATAAATGAACACGAACATAAACATTGGAGACCCTACCTAGGGGTGTAAACGAGTCGAGTCGAGCTCGAGTATTGCTGAGCTCGACTCGAACTCGAAAACTTTCAAAGTCAGCTTGACTAGACTCGAAAACTCGCGAGCTTAAAATTATCAAGCTCGACTCGAACTCGAAATATAATATTGAAACTCGACTCGAACTCGAAAAGGCTCGAACTCAAAAAAAAAAGAGCTCGATTATTGGATTCTTAAGTTCAAAGTAAGCTGACTTGAGTTGCTGGATGATCACTATTTGCTTGTAAATTCGAATACTCCATTATATATGAAAGAAAATAATATTATTTGAGTAGAAGAAACGGTGATTAATACTTAACATCCCTTCCGGAATCCATCACCTTTGGACTTGGTTTCGAAAGTAACCGGTTTCTGGGACTCCTCTTTGCTCATTGGATAACCAGTTGGTGGCGCAGTCAAATAGGGTTCCGGCGTAGTGGATGTTGACGGTGTTAGGTATGCAGCTTATGGATCGTTCAAAAAGAACTAAACCATGTTAATATTGTTGGGTTTTCCAAATAAAATTGGGTTAATTATGGAGTTGATCATCATAATATCAGATTAATTAATATTTTAAGATACTTACAAATTAGTCACCAAAATTAATTTAAGAAGATTGGCTTAAACATAAATGAATGAACATAAACGAACATAACCGAACAAACATAAATGAACATAACTGAACGAACATAACTGAACGTTCACGAACGTAAATGTACGAACGAGACCTATGTTCATGTTCGTTTATTTAATTAAACGACGAACGAGCACGATTCACGAACGATTCACTGAACGTTCATTTCACAGGCCTAAACATAATTAAACATAATTTAATGAAAATCATCCCCACGACGCGAGACGTCGCCTCTTATTAAGTTACTTCCACTCTACGCCATGAACTTTCCTCTGCCTTTCCACTTTTCAGTAAGCAAAACCCAAAAGTAAAAAGAAAAAAGCAACTCCAAATCGTTTTCACATTGTTTGATTTCATAAAGTCTCACTTCAGCTCCGCATGTTACTTGAAAACAAAAATAGACAGTAACACAGTCAAAGAAAAGACCTCCTCTGCTTTCGTCTCCATCCTTTGCATATCTCAACAATCAAACAAATCAACTAAAAAATAAAAAAATTCAAATCGCTCGATCTTCTACTGTTCGGCTCATGGCAGATCGAGCCTCGTACAGTTTGGCTCCCCAATTGGGTTAGTCTTCTGCCGGTCTCTTTCACCTACTTTTTTTTAATTATTTATATTATATTTCTTCAGATTTGCCTACTATTTCAACGCGTTTTTTATCTCAAGTTTGCGCCTAGTTTCGTTGATTTTAAAGTTTATCACTGGTTGAGTTGTGTTTGTTTTAGTGTATATTTTACCGAGCTTTTACTTGAGGAAATTGGAGTTAAGTCTAGAGATATAACTTAGTTCAATTATTGAGGAAAATGGAGTTAAGTTTAGGGATTTAGCAAAATTCAATAACTGAGGATGGGTAGGAGGAATGGATAAATTGTTAGCATTGAGGAACTTATTATCTGGAAATCGGATGATGAGGATTTATGGTTTCACTGTTCAATGATAGAATTTTTATCGATTTTGCGTTTTCTTCTGCTTGCATTGAAGAGTTTAATTTGTTTTAATATCAATAAATTCGCTTCTGAAGTAAGACTTTGTATAACTTTAGAAAGCTTTGAAGCGAAAATTCTTAAAAGCTCTATCAGATAGGCTTAGTGAATGACAGTATGTGCTATGGTAGTGCATTTCGTGCTTTGATTATCTGCTATAAACTCAAGAAGTTATGCTTGCGTCCTAGGCTGTGCAGACAGAAGCTTTTGCATTATGGACAATTTTGCAGTTTTATCTCTCTTTAAGGCACTGCGAATACTTCATCCAAAACTTAACAGTGTAATTTATGTTTTTGTATTACAAATAAATTTTTCCATGATTTGAGTTGTAATATCATTAATTATCAGTCTTCTTAAGTTTTGAGATTGGATTATAGGAGTGTTATTTAATGATATTATGAATGAAGCTTTTTGCTAAAGTCTCTCTGTCTCTTGGACAATTGTGAACTTCTAATGTGAATGAAGTTTTTATTTCTTCATGTCATATGTTTTCTCATGGCAATATATCTTTTAATAATTATATTTTTTGTTTTCCTGATTTGTAGATATTGAACAGATATTACTAGAAGCCCAGCGTAGATGGTTGAGACCTGCTGAAATTTGTGAAATTCTTCGTAATTATCAGAAGTTCCAAATTCAGAGGCTCCTACCAGACCTCCAAGTATGAACATTGAAAAGCATTTCATGGTTGGGATAAAATTTCATGTCAATTTATGTTTATTGTGATAACATAATTGTATTATTATACTTAGTTATTGATAGAAGCATACATGAATAATCATTTCATAAGCATATTAATGTGATCTGTTGTCAGCTTTAAGTGTTCCTTACCTTTTTCTTTTTTAATTTGTACTTTCTTGTACTTAATATTCCTAAAAACTTGTTTTGTTTGATCATTAAAGCTGAACAAAAATGCTTTAAGCAAACATGCAACATGGATGTTATCATTGTGATTTTTATAGAAGTTTTTATGATATTATGATTGATTTTGGGTTAAAATACCAAATAGATTGACATGAATTTAAACTCTGCAGGTGGTTCACTCTTTCTTTTTGATCGAAAGGTGTTAAGATACTTTAGGAAGGATGGACATAATTGGAGGAAGAAAAAGATGGAAAGACTGTGAAGGAAGCTCATGAGAGGCTGAAGGTAAGTAATGCAGCCGTAGGAAGATGAAGTTTGTTCTTGTTATATGATTTTACCAATTCAAGACGTCTTTATTTAATGATTACTCACCGATTGGAAATTTTGCCTAAGAATAACTTCTTTAAATCTATTTTAGGTTGGGAGCGTTGATATGTTGCACTGCTACTATGCCCATGGAGAAGAGAATGAAAACTTTCAGAGACGCAGCTATTGGATGCTTGAACCGTATGGGTTAATTATATATTTATGTGTATATTATATGTTTTTGTAGTTAGTTCTAGGCATTGTGGGGATGTTATCATGTTCCTATAATTTTATGTTCTCTCTCTCCTTTTTGTTTATTTCTTTATTCTAGTTAATTACACATATTTTGCTTTTCAACTGTGTGCTAGTAGTGCTTAGAAAAAGGTACTTCAATGAATCCCAGCTATGCAGGCATAAAGTAATATCAAATTAACAGTGTTCAATAATTTTTTTATGCACGGGCCTCATTTCCCATGTTAATACACCAGGGTTTCAAATCACGGTCTGAAAACGTGATAGTGCCTACGAAATAGCAGTTTCGCCGCCGTCCGAGTTACCCGCTACACCCGCAATAGCGCTTGCGACGGCCACAATCACGGTAAACCCAAAATGACCGAAAACGCGACCGTGACCGCGATTTGAAACCCTGAAATACATGTAGGTTTTCGTAGAAGCCTTTACTGGCTGTTAATGTGGGAATTTGTGAAGTATAACAGAATATGATTCATTTTGTATAGAATCTGTCACAAATGGTTGTTGCATCATCTTTGCTTACGTTGACATGTAAAGCAAGTTGAGGCAGTCGATATTTGAATTGCTTTATCAGCATTTTTAGGGTAGAGTAATTTACAAAGAATAATTTATTAGCAAATAACGATGTTATTACTTGTGTGATATTTGGAACCTTCCTAGGGCAATGACTTCATTGGCAGTCTGATTTGTATAAGTTCCATGTTTTTTGAAATAATAGTAGTACATTGATTTTTTTGGGGGAGGGTGGCATTGGAACTGTTTATGTAATTCCTTGTCCCTCAGCATTTGTTTTTTGGTTTGATTGGTTTTGTTATATTGTAGGGGTTTGATGCATATAGTTTTGTTTACTTGGAAGTTAAGGTAAGTACCCACTTCTTCTATTAATTCTGATTGATTATCACAAAGTTAGTGATTTCTTGATAATATGATTTTGGCTAGGCCACTGTTTTACCTCCTTGAATAGTCAAATCTTTTCACATGTTAAGCTTTTCCTTTCTTCAGAATCAGATATGACCTTATTGTTTTCTTTTCCTTCAGGTAGTAGAACAAGTGGAGGCATAATAAGAGAGACCAGTGATGTATCAAATTCCCAAACAAGCAGTCCTTTGACTTCTAGTACTCTGTTACTCATACAAAAAAATCCTTCTGCACATGCAAATTCAGCAAGCTCAATAACCGGTTTGACATCCTTAAGTGAAGATGCTGATTCTGGTATTTTTTCCCGTGCTCTGTGATATTCATGTCCTTCTGCCAATAGAACTTAATGTTATTAAGTTTCCATCTTTCTTCTCTCATTATGCATACAAATTTCAATGCAAATATGAGATATCATGCAGAGGATAGTCACCATGCAAGTTCTAGATTCCATACATCGCCCCAAATAGGAAATGCCACTGTGATGAACAAGTTGGATCCTGGCTATTTGAATCATTATTCTTCACATCCCTTTCAAGGAAAGGATTGTTTTTTTTAATATATATATATATATATGGGGCAGGATCCAATTACATAGTATAAAATTTTTTAGTTTTACACTAGGTAAGTGGATTAACCCTATATATATATATATATATATATTAATATATATATATATATATATAAATTTGTTTTTATATCAGTTGCTTCTATTAATTGCTTATGCATCAAATTTATGCATGATTTTGCATCGAGTGTGATGGAAATAGAAACTCTTACATATATATATATATAAATTTGTTTATATCAGCTGCTTCTATTAATGCTGCATCAATTTATGCATGATTGCATCGAGTGTGATGGAAACTAGAACTCTTACAATATGATCATGAAGGCCAATCATCAATTCCTGGAATAAATGAAGTGTCACTCACATCTTCATGGAGATAGACGGGGATATTAATTATGACTCTTGTATGACAGGAGCTCAAAGAACACCTGATTTGACATCTGGGAACAGGGCTTGGAGCAATATATGCCTGTATATATGGTGCATCTTCTACTGCTTCCCTGACTTCAGTCAAATACTATTAGCATCAGCCTGCACAAGAAACGATGGTGAAAGGCAAGCTATTAGCTGTTGATAGTGGCGAGGAGTTCGGAAATCTTTGCCAACACAATCACTTTGGCAGGTATTCTTGTAGTTGCATTTTGTATCTTAGGTATAAATAATTAGTTTCTATGCATGTTCATAATTTTGAGATTGAACCTTAAAAATGATATACTCTTAAAGTGTACTATTTGTAATATTTTTCCTGTGTATATTATCTATCATATCATGTAGGAATTTTCTGAATCTTAATTAATTTTTTAACGAAAGTGGTTTTGGTATGGGTTTTCAATGCTAAATGTTTTATTTTTTTGGCGAGAAATTGGTCTTCTTTTCACTTCTCCTTTTATGAGCATACAGCACTAATCATGTCTGAGATGAATGAATTTAGATGGTTATTGTGAACTGTTGGCTTTTGAATTGTTATGTGTAATGCGTAAAGGATTGGTTACAAGTAATAACTAGAGCATACAGTTACAAAAATCCAAATTTTAACCAAACTTCTCTTCATACATTTGTTTCTCTCTGTACTTTTGATGTTTAGACTTATTGGATCATTGTCAAATTATATATTGGTTCTAATTCAAGTACATCTTTCAGATTCCTTTGGCTGACAATGACTTGAGTTGCCAAATGGCCCACGGATCCATCATCAAATTTTGATTTGTCTTATGATACTAAGTTATTTGAGCAGAATGCTCATGATTTCATTTATCAAATGCTCTCGAGGAATTTTCCTGCCATGATGTTTAAATGATCAAATTCTTTCATGAGAACATATGAGAATGATATGCATTTGGATGGGAATGTTAACTATGCTTTGTCTCTGAAAAAATCATTACTTGATGGAGAAGAAAGCTTGAAGAAAGTTGACAGTTTTTCTCGATGGTTACTAAAGAACTCGGAGAAGTAGATGATCTGCAGATGCAATCCTCCTGGTATTGCCTGGAGCGCTGTGAGTGTGGAAATGTTTCTGATGATGTCTCTTTGAGCCCCTCTCTTTCTCAAGACCAACTCTTCAGCATTGTTGATTTTTCGCCAAAGTGGGCTTACATAGACTTAGAAACAGAGGTATTAAAGCTTTTGTTAAATCTGAGAAGTTAGGGTTTTGAAGCAAATAGTATAATGAAGATTTTAGTTAACTGCTTGCTTATTCTCTTGGCCTTTCCTCACCTGCTTTCTTATTTAAAAGTTGATAATTTGTCATGTTTTTATTACTTGTGCATTCTTCAACTTTATTCTTCATGTTACTTCTGTCTGGTACTTTGAGGCGTGCATAGCCCTAGCATGTTAACTGCTTAAAGTTCTCAATGTTTCATTTGCTAATGTTTTTACTCCCTGCTATGATATGTTATATGTCATTCAACCACCCCTCCCTTCTTTGAATGTCTATTTAGCTTTTGCGTTTTTGAAATCTTGTGATGCCCATCTTATTTGATTGATGCTCTACTTAGTAAAAAATGGATTTTCCCCTTTTTGCATAATGAAACAGGTATTGATCATTGGAACATATTGAGAAGTCAAGAGGAAGTAGCAAAATATAGCTGGTCATGTATGTTGGGAAGTGGAGGTTCCAGCTGAGGTTATTGCAGATGGTATTCTTTCCTGTCATGCTCACCTCACAGTGTTGGGCAAATCCCTTTTTATGTTACGTGTTCCAACAGATTGCTTGTGCGAAGTCCGAGAATTTGACTACCGTGCAGGATTCACTAAAGACATAAACATTTCAGATATTTATGATGAGTTTCAAGAGAATGCTGATGCGATTCAGAGGTTACTTTCTCTCAAATCTTTCAGTCATCCTAAGCATCACTATGAAAGTGTTGCGGAGAAGCGAGACTTAATTATTAAAGTATTAATGAAGAGGAAGAAGAATCCTATCAGATTGTCGATCCCTCTAAAAAGTATTTGTCTCAACATGAAGAAAGGGAGTGCCTCCAGAAATTGATGAAAGAGAAGTTGTACTCATGGCTTCTTCACAAAATAATGGAAGATGGTAAGGGCCGAATGTATTAGATGAGAAGGGTCAAGGTGTACTACACTTAGCGGCTGCACTTGGTTATGATTGGGCAATAAAGCCTATTGTTACTGCTGGAGTTAGCGTAAACTTTCGTGATGCAAATGGATGGACTGCACTGCACTGGGCTGCTTTCTGTGGCAGGCAAGGACATCTAAACTTGTTTCTGTTATATGCGCCTAGAGTTTTCAATTTATAATCTGAAAATTTCTCACCAAACTGGCAGTAATTTAAATATGTATTGTGGCTATGAAACCATTTGGCAATATCCTAGTTGTAAATGAATGCACTAATTTCTTGGCTTTTCATTAAGTAAATGTTCTATTAGAAGAAAAACTTAAATACTTCTGTTATGTGCTTGAATCTTTTTTTACAAAATTCAGAGAGCAAACAGTTGCCATTCTAGTGTCCCTGGGAGCAGCACCAGGAGCCGTTACAGACCCTACTCCAGAATTTCCTTCGGGCAGACCTCCTGCGGAATTGGCTTCTGGCAATGGACACAAAGGAATTTGGTTACCTTGCAGAATCTTCTTTGACTGGTTTACTTTCTTCTCTTACGATGAATGATCAAAAAGAGCTGTACAAATAGTTTCAGAGCGAATAGCAACTCCAGTATATGATAGTGATTTACAAGACCTATCACTGAAAGACTCAATTACTGCTGTATGCAATGCTACACAAGCTGCTGATCGTATATATCAAATGTTCAGGATGCAATCCTTCCAGCGGAAACAATTGAGTGAGTCTGATGATGGGGTCAGATGACATGCTATTTCACTTATAGCTGCTAAAGCACATAGGCCATTCCAAATTGATCGGTGGCCCATGTTGCTGCAACACAAATTCAGAATAAATTCCGTGGTTGGAAGAAAAGAAGAGAATTCTTATTGATTCGCCAAAGAATTGTCAAAATCCAGGTTCAATGCTGTTTTTGTCTTTTGCCAATGGCTTAGTTCTTCGTTTATCTTTTCCTCTCTTCTCCCAACTTTTTCTTTCGAAAAGGGTTATTTTGTAATTTGATTATATGTGTTTGTTTATGATGATTGTGTGCTATCCCGTATTGGAAATCTAGCGACAATATTTTGATGTTCTAGGTGTTTCATAGGCAGTTTTTTTATGCTTATGATTTTACACTTCTCTAAGAGATAATAACATAAAGGGATTGGTCTCTCATATTTAGGGTTTTGACCATTTCATTTTTGCTGACAGCTACTACCATGACTTTTACCCCTTCTTTTAATTGTATTATGTTTACTATATGTTGTGTAAATAACTTTGAAAGATGGGAAACTGAATTGATAATGATGAAGTTTTTAAGGATTTGTTGATGTATAATTTGCCTCTCTTTAAAATCTTGAGTTTGAATATTGATTTGAAATTTGGTGTGAAGGCCCATGTTAGAGGTCACCAGGTGAGGAAACAGTATAGAACAGTCATCTGGTCAGTGGGAATTCTGGAGAAAGTTATTTTACGGTGGAGACGTAAAGGGAGTGGTTTGCGAGGATTCGACGGGATGCAATTACCAAGGAACCTGACCCACAGTGCACGCCCTCGAAAGAGGATGATTACGATTTTCTCAAGGAGGGAAGAAAACAAACTGAGGAAAGGCTGCAGAAGGCACTTACTAGGGTAAAGTCCATGGCTCAGAATCCTGAAGGACGAGGTCAATATCGAAGGCTGCTGAACTTGGTTCAAGGATTCGTGAAAACAGGTATATGCTGTTTTTCTTTTGCATATTTCTACTTTAGTGTAATTTACAATTCAGTAGGCTTCAATGATTTAGTTAGTTAGTTATTTGCACCTTGAACTTGCTTTTGTTTCTGTCATTACTCATTGGCTGTTGCTTCATCTGGATGTTAACTGGCCAAGGTCAACTATATCCGGCTAAGGTCTTCTTGATCATTGCATTTCTTATAGGACAGATTCAAATTCTTGAGATTATGTGCCATAATTTGATTGCGAAAATGTGCTTATTATTCAGTTCCAACAAATTCGCATTCAACAGTTCTTTTACCTCAATATTCATCAAAACACCGACTATTTTGAGAAAATGTTTCCACAGGCTTGCAATATGGTACTGAGCAGTACGGAAGAAGTGGGTAATGTTGAAGGAGATGGCGATGAACCTATCAATATCGACTCTCTTTTAGACGATGAACTTTCATGTCTATCGCATTTGATTAAAGCTCCTCCAAACTTTGCCCCTACATATCCAACCTGTACATAAACCGGTACGGCAGCTTCATTGCAGCAGTATGAAGGGTTTTAGCTTGGGATGTGTCTGTAAATATAGCATCTAACGTACATTACTTTGCTTCTAGGTAGCATGGAACATCTGTTTTACCTTCTCAGGGTTATTATTCCCATGAAATTGTTAAGTCAAGGGTTAGAGTTAGTATTTATTGATTGTAAAATCTGTCGGAGGAATGATTACAAGTGACATTTTAGAGTTAATGAACAATTGATTCCATTTTTGTGCTTAATTACCTTTAATCTCTTGTTTTGTTTTTTCAGATTCGATCAAGAGTCAAACACTCGAATCTGACTCAGCAAGACGAGGCTTGAAAAATGCAGACCATATATAAGATATCAATCAGGTTTTGCCTGTATCTAGAACTTATGGTTAACTGATTTAGTTCTGCACTACATGAAAATAGTCTTTATTGATAAAAAGTTGATTTAATAGATTTATTATTTTAAAAAACATAGTATTAAGTTTAAAATATTTCTTAATAAATTATTTATTATATTTATTTTTTTGATATTGAAATTACTTTTAAAATATTAAAATTCTGGTTGAACAATTTATCATTTGCTCAAAAAAAAAATGCATGTTAATTCTCTATGCCACTTTGAATTACAGTAGCAGAAAGTTAAAGAAGTGGATTATGCTTAAGAAACAAAACAAGTTTTGAGAGAGAATGTACATAGAAATGTTAAGTCTTGGCACTGAGGAATCAGACCATGGCTCAAGTCCTTGTAGCAGCTCACATTCTCCTGACCATTTTAATCTTCAATTTCTGGCTACTACTGCATTCAACTCTTCATTTGATGGGATGGTACTGATCTGAAACTCGCTTCGGAGGCAATTTCCGAAGTATAAACAACACCAAGCCGATGGATAATCTCTACCAACTATCGAGGGAACAGCAAAACAAAGCAGTTAGAAAATGGAATGGTGGAATATGACCGAAGCTCGGTATAATGTATAAGCATGAATGAATAAGTAAGCACACTCCAGAAACCAATGTACCATGTAATATGAGATTTAGGAGGGATGGTATAGAACATCGATATCGCATCCTCATCAAGGCCGAGACCAGAACCTATAAAGTGAAACCGATGGAACGACCTTTTTGTTAAAGAAGATTATGTAGTATTAAGATTTTATTTTCGATCAAACATGGCTCACCATTAGGCATCTTAGCACGAAAGGCACGCATATCCCCGTTACGAAGCCAACCTGCCATGGAAATAGGGTTAAGAAACACATCGAACGAAATGAAATATAACAGTTGACAGGTATTGAGCCTTTTCAATACAAGTTACAAACCTCAAACAGCTTTTCTGACGACCCTGGTTCGATAGGGAAGCGTCAACATGAAGAACAGCCTAACGATTAAGCGACAGAAAAGTGAATAGACAATGATCGGAAACTAAATTTCTGTTCGAGCAAGATATCGACTTACCTCCCACCGTATAGAATGAACCCGGATGCAGCCAAAGCGAAAAACTGCAAAATGCGGAGAACACCAATGCATCAGCTTTTCACTCGCTCAAATAAGCCCGTTTACTTCTTGGAATCCGTTCATAGTTAAGTTTGTAAAAAAAACGACCACTTGAGCTTCGTTATGGCATGAAAATGCAAATTCAAAGCCGATTTAAGAAAACTTACTTGAATGAAGACTCTAGCAAATTCGATTGCAATCGAGCTTTTACTTAATCGATGGAAATCCATATGCACACCTTTAGCACAAGAAACAGATAGGCTTCTTAGATGCATTGTGAAATCCAAAAACCATCATTTATGATGTGCAAGTGCAATTACATTGTTACTTTTACCTGAGCAAGTATATAAATCCGTTGTGCTATAGTATGCTGGTCTGAGTTTATTAATAGGAAGACTTCTTGCCTAAGAACAACAAATAAAGAAGAATTGATTAGCGTCGTGATTAATTATGCAAATGACGACATAGCGAAGCTAGTTGTCTACCTGTAATATATCTCGGCCCAGAAAAGAACAAGCACATATATGTTGAAAAAATAGAAGGTTAGGAAGATCCAGAAGCACCATTTCGAGTGCCTGTATACAGATCGATGTTATAGTTAAGCAGTGAAGCTGAACTAATATATCGAAACCGGAATGTAAGAATACAACATCAAGACATCATATGGAGCAGTTGTTATGATACCTAAAGATAACATGGCCATGCTATCTAAATGCTCATTCACTACCGGAGCATCGACTTCAAACAGCGGAAATACTTGGAATTAACGAGAAACACGGTCTTGTAGAAACAGAAAAGAACAGCCTCACTGTCAGAATGCCATGTAATGATTGTTTAGCAAAGTTTAAACAGCTAGTTGAAGGACTATTAGAGATATATAATACACAACTCTTACATCCATTCACAACAAGTTCATCAAGTGGAAAACCTTTGTGTGGTCCACCCGTACTCCGGCACTCGCAGTGAATCCGGCATAGTTGTACCTAAATAACCGAAGCTTAATGCATTAGAAAGCATAATCTTGCACCATATGCTCATGAGTTTAGACAGTATCAGAATAACATTATAGTTGCAGTGAATAGCAATGGTGGGGTTTACATGAATCTCATGGCCTATCATCGAATTCATAATACACAACGTATCAAAATTCATACAGAGAAATTCTGCAATGTTCGTCTCTTTAAGATCCGGGTTCGAGTACATAAATATATAGGAATACTTGCCTCGATTCACGTGATTATGATTGCAGACCAACACATAAAAATTCAAGCTTTACATTAAAACCTCACATGCATTAATGGCATTTATTCTCATTTGATCCACATTTGATTCATTCAAACCCCATTGAACAACCATGAAATGCATGAAATTACCAGAGCAACAAATGAAATAAGAGCATAAGAAGCAGACAAAAAGAAAATGGATCTCTGCCACTCCTCGGATTTATCAATCTCATCCCACCAACCAAGCATTCCCACGACATGTTTCAACATGATGGTTTCTCTATAAGAACAAAACCCTTTACTCTCACCATCTGAAGTACTCCCCCAACTGTGAAAACAATGAAAAAAATAATATAATAAACCAAATAAAAACAGGAAAAAGTAGAGATCAGAGAAAACGGCATTGATGAGTGGGAGGAAGTAATGAGGGAGGAGGAGAAGGGGGGGGAGGGAAGGGACACGTGGAGGGGAGGGAAGACGTAGGTAGTATGCCACTTGTGGGGGATATAACGGTCGAAACATATAGTTAGTGACATGTTCGTGGATTTCGGTAACAGACAGTAACGTGGTTTTTGCTTAATTAATGGTGACAGTTAACAATAGTCGTTATAACCGAAGCTAAAACTTCAACCGGTTATTGCTGTTGACTTGACTTTGTAAAAATTAATGAAATTATGTAATCCGTAATTTAAATTGATTACTAAATAATTATTTATTAAAGAAAAATTCTAGAACGATCGTCAAGCGTGGATGAACACCGTAAACGATGAGCATCGTTATATTAATTTATAAACGTTAATTATAAAGTATTAAATGTATATTATAAATTAGTTAAAATTTAAATGTAATTTGATTAAAATACAATATTTATAAAACATTAATTTTTACGGTAAATTATCATTAACCACCTAACTATTACCCCTTTTATTTTAACCACCGATTTTCAATTTTGTCAATCGGATCACCTAACTATTTAAATCTTGCCAATCAAGCCACCTACTATTAAATATTAATGGAGGGACAGTTAATAAAATTTATATAATTACACATTTAGTCATATTCTATTAATTTGGTCCTAACTTTTAATTAATTCAATAAATTTAATCCTCAATCATATGATAACATTGTCATTGTGTGATTGGATGTTTTTCTTAATATTTTTATTTAATTTAATAAAATTTTCATCCAATCAAATGGTGCCACATGTCACCAATTGAATGAATAGAAAATAAATTAAATCAATAACCGTTATTGGTGGGTTTTGAACTCAAGACGCGAGGAGAGAAAGTAGATGCCCCAGCCACTGGGCTACACCATTCAAATGACAAACATATCACGACATAATATATATAATTAATGTTAATAAAAGGGAGACCTAATAAGAACTCCAACATGGAATAATTGAATAATACGATAATGATATATACACAAATATTATAATTGATTAATGTGAATGTATTTTATTTATATTTTAAATCATTTTAATGAAAAAAAAAGTAAAATTAATTTTAATATATTATATTGAATTGTAACGAATAGCTTCGTTGACTTAGAATTTTTCTGATAGTTGAGGGTTTATCGTAGGAATCATTTTAACTTATGCATTGACTTGTTTATACCCCGGTTAGAATACGAATTTTTACTTATTATTTATCATATATATTGAAGAAAATTTTAGGAGAAACTTGATTTTATTAATTAGTCTATTTAATATAGAGTTGTTAAATAAATTAGAATCCAATTACGTTATAATTTTAAAATATAAGATATGATACATTTCATTTCAATAAAATTAAATAATGAACAATTTTTAATTTAAAATATATAAAATGATACATTTCAACTATAACATTTAATTTCATTTTTATTTTATTTTTGCATTAAATGTGATTAAAATATAAATAAACATATTCATTTACTAATGTTATAATATTGTTTATATATATATTTATACTATCAATTATTTCATGTTTAAGTTCTTAAGGTCATTTATTACCATTA